TAAAATAATAGTCTAGCATACTTAGAAATACTGGTAACTCATAGGTCACTTTATAGGATCTTACAGGAATTGGATTAGAATTCTAAATCTAGCTAATGGGCTTTGAAGCCTATTAGAATTTGATAAAAATATAATCAGAAATAAAATCTGAATTTATTTGCCTGATTGATCTAACTTTATACTAGATTTCTGTACAAATTTAAGTAATGATTGGTAGTGGTTAAAGATTTGTGACATAGCACTTCCAGGCAAATATAGTTAAGAATTAGTGAGAAAGAACTTGCAGGAAAATATGTTGCTCCAATCTCATTTGGATTTCATTCCAATCATCTTCACTCACAGTCAGGCACTTAAATTACTGATTTCTACCTTACCTGAAAAATGTAATAAAAATAGCTATAGTATTCCCTTAATGTGCTTGGATAAATTATTTTTTTATTATCGGTTTATTTGTTTTTATATGAAACTGTCTCTTAATCTCTTTGTCTAATAGGTCTAAAATTGACAAAATGTTCTTTTGAACTTGCAAATATCTGTAGTTTCAAGGGTGTTAGACCTAGTTGAGCATGTCTACACTAACACACATAAACAAAATGGAGAAATTGCTACATAAGAGTATATGGAGCTTTTAAAAACATAAATATATGTCAGATATAAAATATGTAAAATTATAGACTATGAACTTCTTAAGGGCAGTATCTAACAAAATGCCTGGAACATACAAATGCTCAATATGTATTTGTTAAATGAGTCAATTAAATCAATTGGTTTAAACAGAATTAAACGAAGTAGTTTGGACCTTATAGAAAAAACTCATGAAATATGTTGGAAAATGTGAATATTTGATCCTCTCCGAGGAGTATCAGAGATTTTAGGGTATAGAAAGGAATTTAGTGAACAGAAAGGCCAACTGCCCCATTTTACACCAGGGAGTTAGTTGGCCAATTTGATCTCATCCCCTTGACACTATAGATATCTTCAAGTTCAGAAGAATGTTTTATCAATTTGGGTCCCATTAGACAAAGAAATTAAGAGACAATCTATCCATTTCATGTAAATACAAAACAAAACAAGAATAACAAGTAGTTTATCCAAGTAAAATAACTTGTTTAAATAAGGGATGGAATCAGGAGATGGTAAGGAAAGCAAATTGAGGTTCACATGGAAACATTCCCATATATTGTATCTCCACGTAAATCAGTAACTGATAAGCAGAACTTCTGGGATAATATTGAGAAAATAAGTGCAATGTCAGTGACAAGACTTGGTTTCTTCTAAAATTATTTGTGCTTACTTATAGTTACCAATTTTTTTTAGATTAACTCCCAAGGATTGTCCAGATAATTTTGTTAAAAGGAAAACCTATTGTATTGTGTATTGCCTAAATAAAAAAAAAAAAACCCATAATCATAGTTAAGAGTTACGAAAATGTCTATCTTTCAAAGGTTTTCATTGTAATGAAGTTCGACATACATCATGCCTATAGTGAAAAGTGCAAATTTAGAAGAAGGTGAACAATGGAAAGTCAGTTTTATACAACTGACAAAACCTGAAGGACAACCACCCACATGGCTCTCATCACTGTCAAAATCCATTTAGCTGAAAGGGAAAGAAAGAGAACAAAACAAAAGAGCACCATGCTTTTGAGGTGGAGACATGCTGTGCTACAGGAATGCGGGGTTTCTAGACTGTATATGTCTGTGTTTGTGTGTGACATAGTCTTGACTCACTAGGTACCTGGGTCCTCCTCTGTTTGAGGAATTTGACTTTCTTAACCCTATGCAAAGCTGCTTGCTGCAGATCACAACAAAGCTGGCTATGTGCCAGCTCAAATAACAGGTCAACTTTTTAAGTCCCAAAGGAAATTTAGCTTCAGCCAGATTCTTGAATTCCTTTGAGCAGCCCTCTGGACTGATGCTTCTTAGAGATCTTCTCATCAGTAGCAGTTATGAGGCTAGCAAAGTCTGAACTAGTTTCCATACCATATTATATAGCTTTGAAGAGCATGGGGAATGAACTACACTAGAGCTTGGGTTGATGATCTGTGGAAATGACATGGCACCCCAGAGTAAAATTGCATTATCTTAAAACAAGTGATAAACAATTCTGTCTGTTCTTGGTGGTGAGTATAAGATGGTAGGGAAAGTTACAAAATTTAGGCTCATCTAAAGCATTATCTGTGTTTTGCCAGCATAAGAACAATACTAAAGGGGGATTATAGCTACAGGTTGAAAATATTAGATTATTAATTTTGCATATTTCTTTTCAGTGCCCTCAAAAATGTTGGCAGATATATGACCATAGGCTGCTATCCTTGGAAGGAAGGAAGGAAAGAGGGAAGAAAGAAAGGAAGGAAGGAAGGAGAATGTACAGAGAAAATTGAATATGGACTCATAGATTCTTGGGCCTGGCTGAGCGAATGTTAGTTTTTCAGTGAAATAATTTCTATATTCTGGATCTAAATTGATCTAATGGCTCTGGAGCTAACATCTTTGGTTGTCTTTTTTTTTTTTTTTTTAAACAGAGTCTCTGTGTTGCCCAGGCTGGAGTGCAGTGCCGCAATCTCGGCTCACTGCAAGTTCCGCCTCCTGGGTTCACGCCATTCACCGCCTCAGCCTCCTGAGTAGCTGGGACTACAGGCCCCCGCCACCATGCCCCCCTAATTTTTTGTATTTTTAGTAGAGATGGGGTTTCACTGTGTTAGCCAGGATGGTCTCGATCTCCTGACCTCGTGATCCACCTGCCTCCACCTCCCAAAGTGCTAGGATTACAGGCATGAGCCACCGTGCCCAGCCTTGGTTATCTTTTTTGAAGGATCTTTAGAAATGTCTATTTGTGGGAGAGATATGAGGTTCACAATAATATTTGAAAACCAGTTAGGCATATCAAAAAAGAAATTTTATTAGAATATTCCCAGTCTTTTCAAAATGTAATCTTGTACCATTTTCCAAAATAGGAAACACTGACTAAATAAAGTGTTTCTCAAGCATGACTGGTATACCAAGTTTGAGGGTTAGTTACGACTTTTTGCCAAAACATCCATTTACTTTTCTAGCCTGGGGGAACTGGACTAGCAAATGGATGTCACTTTTATAAGCACCCAGTGCCATTTTAATCTATGCTAAATGAAAGAACTTAAAAGAAAAAGGAAACTTCCATTCACATAAAACCCTTTCTTGTTAATATCCCAGAGTTGCTTGTAATATTTGGGGTGGTAAGGAGGATGAAGAAATCTGTCTGGCACTTAGCTTTAGGTTGGACAAACCCCATTCACTCTATACTCAAGCTTATTTTGTTTACTACGTTTTTCCCTTCTTGAATTGTTAATGTCTTCAACATACTCTTTGACCGGTGACCTCTGCTAGGAGTTTCTCTAGATGTGTACAATAATTAGAAAGACAACAAAATGTAGAAGCGTTGTGTGTTTCTTATCTGCATCTCATTTGCTTGTACTGACTTAGCCAGTCCATGATCAGAGGATATTATAATTTCCAACCACAAAGAATGTATTTTAATAACTCCTTTTTAAATTCTTCTCACTCAGTGAACGATTCAGAGGGAACATGCTCAGATTCAGGTGAAGAGAGTCACACCAAACACTTGCCAGACCACAAAAGCTTCAGGCTGCCTGGGCTCAAGGCTGATTTCAGTCACTTAAGAATTTGGGGATGAAAACGCTGCTGACAGTGAATTTGTAGAAATTCTGCAAATGTCACAAGGGCAGGGATCATGTCTGTCACCCATTCAGTTGAAAAACAATTTAAGTTTACTTTAATGAGTTTCCATCTCTTTATCAGCATTGTTTAGATTGTTAGACTCGAATAATTTACAGACTCCAGCATTACGGTTTCTTTCCTTGGAGACATTGAAGTTCTGCCCTCGTAATCCCACTTAGGGGAAGATGGTTCGCTCTGTCTTGCTTTTCTCTGTCTTGTACTTGGGTCTTCGTGTCCTAATTCAGATGCTTTCAAACACGAGCGTGCATCAGAATTGCTAGAAAGCTTGTTAAACTATGGGTTGTTGAGCTCCCTCAAGAGAGTTTCTGGTTCAGTAGGTCTGGGGTGAGACCTGAGAATTTGTTTTTCTAAATAGTTCCCAGGTACGGCTGATGCTGCTGGTCCTAGGTCCAGGCTCTGAGAACCAGCCGCCAACCTTCACACCCAGGACATTCCACTTTTCTTACAGATAATTTGTTTCTGTTCACATTTTACCCTTTGGAGATCATATTCCTTCTCCTCACTTTTACACATGATGCTAAATGTGCTAAATATGCTTCAGCCTTCCCATTTAACATAAAAGCATTAAAAATATCTAGCTTTCATCTCAGGTTATTCACCTGGGCATTGTAGTGATGCATCCACTTATCTAAGGATGGTCTGACATCCTTAGGTAAATGAACTATCACATCTACATTTTGAATCATGCAAACTCAAGCAGACATGGCTGAATCAAGGGTCGTAGAATTCTGTTTTGGGATGCAAGTTTATTTCTGTTTCATGATGGAGTTCTCCACCCCACTGGTATAATTTTCTCATCCACGTAGCCTCTAGCTATCAGTAAAGGTGTTCTCTGAATAGTTGTTTCAGAAAATAGAAGTGTTCATGTTTTCATACAGTGATGTATTTATTGTTTTAAAGATATTTTTGAATCAGTTATGCCTAGGTTGTTTGAGTGACCTCAAAGTGGGTCATCCAAGTTGGTCATCACCAATAGGCAAAAAGTATAAATATAACCCATGCTAAGTGTAAAACTAAATGCCAAGGAAGCAGTTTATCTTGTTAAATTCTGCCAAGGGCAAGTGACACAGCAGCTGCAGACCAGTTTGTAGAGGCCTGGGGGGCCATGCTGGCACTGGGAACCCTGGCTTTATCCCACCTGTGGAAAAAGCTCGCATGTGATCCGAGAGACAATTATAATGTGACTTAACACAGTAGCTGAGAGAGGCAGCTTCTTTTGCAACGTTCAGGACTAATTCAATGGATTTTCTTCTCCCTGCTCAGCGGCATTCGGCAGCTTCTCTGGTGACCAGCTACGTCATTTGGCAGCAGGCTAAACTGCTTGCAATTGCATAGAGCAAAGAGCATGCTGAACAGTGATGTTCCAGTTTAAAAGGACAGAGCTGCAAACAAAGGTAGGCTTTTATTTTGGGCAAGAGCCTTTTAACTGCACAGAGTCTCATGCCTGACCACGTGCCCTTCACCACTGCCATGTCCACAGCACTAGGCACATGTCCTCACTCCCTTGTTCTTGAATCCTGAGTGCAGAAACCTGATGTCAGCGTCTTCTCCTGAGTTTCCTATTTCTTTATGTCTTCATGTCCCACTTGCCTCTCTGCTTCTCTTCGTTACCCCTTTCAGCTCCTTCTTTTTGGACCCATGTTTTATTCATATGATTATTTTTGACGGATAGTTTGGTGCCTGAATCTAATATTCAGTGTTTTCTTTTGATGGGAGAAAACTCACAGTACTACAACTTTACATGTAGAATACAGAGTCAGCCCAGCTATGCCTGCCCACAGTTCCAAGGGGAAGTAACTGCCTGCAGAGTATGATGCTACTTCTTCATTGCACTTGTCACAGTTAATAGTTCTATGTATTTGAGTGATTAATCATTTTCTGTCTTTCTTGGTAAACATAAGCCATTGTGAAAACAATGGCTACCTGCTTTGCCCACTATTGGATCCCTGGTGCCTGTCTGTGTATTCACAGTAACACTTGTTGGGGAAAGGAAGGAATATGCATCTCAGGTTTACCAGTTGAGTCATGGAAGTCCTGAGCTGGTCTTAAGTAAACTTTGGAAATGATACATTGCTTTGGAAATAATTGTGCAGAAAAGCCCAGGATTTTATCAATGAGGTTTTATTATTATTATTATTTAGTTTATTTTGAGAGATTCAATTGATGGTATTTGTTGGGTATAGATAAACAATGTGTCACCCAATAAGGAGAAATAGTCACTATTATGAATTATACAAACCTTCTTCTATTCTAATAATGTGTTCCTGGAATATACAGATCACTAGAGCTTTATGTTAAGTATCTCAAAACTTCGGAAATATGGTCTGTATTTGTTTTCCAGGGTTCCTATAACAAAGTACCACAGACTGGGTGGGTTAAACAACATGAATTTATTGTCTCACAGTCTTGGAGACTGGAAGTGCAAGATCAAGGTGTCAGCAGGGCTGGTTCCTTTTGTGGGCTGTAAAGGAGAAATCCCTTCCATGCCTCTGTCCTACCTTCTGGTGGTTCCTGGCACTCTTTGGCATTCCTTGGCCTATAGAAACATCACTTTGACTGCTGCCTTCCCTTTTGCAATGGTGTTTTGCCTGTGTCTGTGTCTTGTTGTGAGAACACCAGTCATATTGTATTGGGGCTGATCCTACTCCCGTATGACCTCATCTGAACTAATTCCATCTACAACAACCCCATCCAAATTAGGTCACTTTCTGAGGTGCTGGGGGTTAGGATTTCAACATATAAATATTGGGCAAACACAGTCCAATCCATAACATGGACAGGTAAGCTATAACTGTTGAACAAAAGACTTATCTGCTGCCAGAATCATTGCACCAGAACCACCTCCCTGTGTTTTCTGACACCTCTTTTCAGTGGCAGGATTTTGACCTTTTTCTGATGGAAGCATCAGGGTCATGACAATCTGGACTTGGCAATTAACTAATTTTACTAGTTGAACCTGTTTCAGAGAACTGCTGGCAGGTGCCATCCCAAGTGGCAGTTAGGGACATAATGTGGATGAAGCAGTCACTGCCTGAGATAGTATGAGAAGACTTCCAATGGCTACAGAAGGCACAAACCCCCAACTCTTCCTCACTGGTACTTGCAAAGAAGTTCCCTCTGCCCCTCCAGTATATGAAGAAGGCAAAAGAAGTTTCTAGGGTAGTATCTGGTATTGGCTGCTCAAATTGTGACATTGGTTGATGAACACCATTGATCTGTTCAGATTGAGGAGTTCCTATGTAAAGAAAGGACTAAAGTGAGGAAATGTCCTGGAGACATATGACACAAATATTTTACTTCGCCATAGTAAAGGGGGAAAGTAATGTTTGACTTTTGGCTGAATGTTCATGAGAAAGACCAATATTTAATCTTGTCTCTGGCTTGTTATCGAGAGAACGTGTGACATCACTTGCCTGTGGTTTCTAGGTGCTTAAAAAAGTAACTGGCTGAGAGACAAGGGCTTCCCGAATTGTGAAATTCAGAGAGAGAGTCAGTTGTCCCTGTTGATACAGCCTGTGCTCTAGGGTACATCCATCAGCAGTGCAGACATTGCCCTTGTTTGGGGATCAATGAGACAGAGAGGTAGCTGAGCAAAGTTACAGCAAGAGAGCACCAGGGCAGATGCTTTGTTCCACAGGGAGCTTGTGACAGAGGTGGAACTTGAATGTAGATCTTTCGCCAAATGAGCCAGCATGCTCTTTAATGAAAAATTGCATTTGGTGAAGAGAATGAGGAAACAGGGTCAGGGAGAAAACCAAACGGGAAACAAAAAATGCAAGAGGAGAAGAAGTAACAAGCATGAGAATGGATGACAAAATCGGGCCCCGATTACTAATGTTATCCTAAACAAGTTACTTCCACAATGTGGGCCTTATCGTTTTTCGTGTGGAAACAAGGGTAATGGGAAAACTCATTTCTAAGGAAATTTTAGGATAGTATTTCCATAGTATTTTCATTTGAAGTCAGTCTTGTATCTGGATTGTATACATCTTTATTTAGCTGGATCTGTCTTAATTTTTATGGATAAACTTTCATCTAATGTACTCTTGTCTTTTTATATATAATATTTAAAAAGTTATTTTACTTCTATGGTTTTGGGTGTCAGTATCATAAAAAAACCTAAAACTTTTATGCACAAAGTGGCTAAAATTTAAAAAATAATAATTTTGCCATGTTTCGGAAACTAAAGACCTTAACAAGATTAGCCTCAATGACATAAAACAAAATAGAACTCCCTCCTCCTAACAAAAGCAACAAAATCAATGTGTTCTAAAGCAAGACCCCTTGTACTTTAAATGAGATCCTGCCTCCAGTTCTTCAGACTCTACTCCCAAGGATGATTAGCTGTAACTAAATAAGCATATGAGGAGAGAAGAGGTTCCTATGAAAGATGGGCTTCAAGACACATGCTATGGATTCAGATCCCTCAGATGGCATTTGGAGAGGGCAGCGGACTGAATGTTTATGTCCTCCCAGGATTCATATGTTGAAATCCTGGCCCCTAAGGTGGTAGCATTGGGAGGTACTACCTGTAGGAAGTAATTCCATTATGAGGACTGAGATCTTCTAAATGGAATTAGTGCCCTTATAAAAGAGACCACAGAGAGCTAGTTCACCCTTCCACCATGTGAGGACAGAGCAATAAGGCACCTCCTATGAGCCAGGAAACAGACACCAAATATGTCAGTGCCTTGACCTTTGACTCCCCAGCCTCCAGATCTATAAGAAATAAATGTTTGTTGGCTGGGCGCAGTGGCTAACACCTGTAATCTCAGCACTTTGGGAGGCTGAGGCGGGTGGATCACCCAGGTTAGGAGTTCAAGACTAGTCTGGCCAACATGGTGAAACCCCCATCTCTACTAAAAGTACAAAAAATTAGCCAGACATGGTGGTGGTCACCTGTAATCCCAGCTACTCAGGAGGCTGAGGCAGAAGAATAGCTTGAACCCCGGAGGCAGAGGTTGCTGTGAGCCTAGATCATGCCACTGCACTCCAGCCTGGGCAACAAGAGCAAAACTCTGTCTCAGAAAAAAAAAAAAAAAAAAAAAGAAATGTTTTTTGTATATAAGGCACCCAGTTTATGGTATCTTGTAATAGCAGCCCAAAAGGACTAAGACACTGTATTTTGCAATGCTGTGTTAATTGATCATATTGAGATGGTGGGAGGCCATGCTGGATAGTGGTTAAGAGGCTCGTTAGAGTCCAGTGGTTGTTTCTAAGTACTGGTTTCACCACATACAACTATGTTACTCTCAACAAGTTATTTAACCCTCCTGTTTCAATTTCCTCTTCTGTAACCTGGCGATGGCTTTCAGTGCATACTTGGATTTTCTTTTGTGTGTGAGGATTAAAGGAAAGAAATGTAAAGTGCTGAGTAGAGTGGCACATAGTAAATGCTTAATAAATATTAGGTAATAATTATCACTCTACTTGTTATGATGTCATCCCTCATAAAGAAACTGATTTCATTAAAATAATGGATTTAGAATCTAATGACTTTTCATCAGTGTGGAATATATTTCTTCTTAATTTATGACTGAACACAAGGTTCCAAGTATGCCAGAACCTCACATTACCCTATAGATCCAGATCTGAAGAGCAGGAAAACACCCCTGATGTGATGCTTGGGTGTGGCAGTTCTGCTGTTATAGGAGCACCCAGTTCATTACAAGTTTGAACAACATGTTCCTCGCTCTGGGCAGAAAACACTAAGCCAGGAAATGTCTGTTTTGTAAGAATACAATTCAGACTTGTTTTTCAGGGCCTTCCATAATCTCAAACTTCTCAGCTGTAGAAGCAATAGCAGCAGAAGGAATTATTGAACGTGGCATCTACATATGATGAGAGAATAAAAAGGGAAAAAGAAAACCCAACAGTTTGCAATCTCGGGGTGAGTAAATAGAAACCTGGTAAGGAAAAGGGAACAGAAAAGACGTGAAAACCAATGCAAATGAATATAAAGCATGTATTCCTAGCTATATGGAAACATAGAAATAACTTTAAAAGGGTATCTCATTTGAACAAATGCCTGGCGCCTCCTTGACCATCTCCCGTAGTAGGGCATTCCATGTCTTTTTAAGCATCTCACTCCATGTCTAGGGACTAGCTGGTAATAGGAGAAAAAAATAGTTTCTTTATTCTAACCCTAGTTGGGATCCTGGCTCCATCACTTAACAGTTTTGAACTTTGGAGGTAAAATAAAAACAATGTATCAATGGACATCATAATAGTACCAATTTCATGGCGTTGTCGTAGGGATTAAATGAGATCATACATATAATTCTATAACACCATGCTTGGTTCATAACTAACACAAATTGAACTAATTAAGTATTCAATTGGCTTTATTATGATTATTGAGCAGGACTGTCTGCATTCTAATCCTGGCTCCAACATCCTAATCTGGAACAAGTGACTTTATTTCTCAGTACTTTATTGCCTACTCTATCAAATGGGGATTCTAGTAGGGTCTGTCTCATGAGGTTGATGAGAGAATTAGACAAGCTGATAAAGGTAAAGCTCTTAGAATAGAGCCTTGCATTTAGTGGGGGTCCATTCAATGTTAGTCATTGTTGATGAAAGGCTTCTTCCTGACCAATTGCTCCTTTTATCACTCTTCTTGCTCAATGAGTGCTCCTCCCAAGCAGTGCCCCGTGCCCTTTCTAGCTCTCTCTCTCTTTTGGAGGATGTAATTGAAGCCAAGATAGTGGGTTTAATCTTCCAGGGGCCATGAAGGATCCCTTTGCTCATGTGAGAGTAGATGAGATTAAATCTATTTCCAGGGTCAGCTAGAGGAACAAGCCACAGAGGTGGCCCAAGGGAAAGGTAGGTCAGTAGATTCAGTGTGGAATAGAAAGAACATGAAGTACTCTGAGACGTGGAAGCCCGGCATAGGGATGAGACAATGTGGTTTGTTTGGGAGCCTGGCAACGTGGCAGATAGTGCAAATGGCTCTGACCTGGGGAGCTTACTGTGCCAGGAGCCGCTTGCCTTTCATAAGCGTGAAATCCACTTAGGTAACCTTTGGTACATACCCTTCTGAATCCACAGCTTGTTCTTTACAAGTTTTTGGCAAAAAGTAGTGTTCACTGGTCACACCCATTCTATTCTATATTTATTCTCAGTGTGCAAGACTAATGAGATAATCATGCCCCAGGGCTTAACTGGTTGAAATCTGTAAATCTCCTAAAAGTGTAATTACCTATTCATAATCCTTCTTTCCCATATTGCGTAAATCTCATTAGTACATTTTTTTATTATTCATGTTATGGAAAAAATTGCTTTTTTGCCATTGAAAGAACAGTTGGCAGAGAGAGAGAACCAGGTGTTTTGTTTGAGCTGTTTGGTTTAATCTCTGTGATCAAATTAACCCATTTATGCTGGAGGTTGCAAATTTTTTTGTGTGTGAAAAATCAGACCTTGGCGATGACCTTGAGCAGTAGGATATAAGTAACTCCCACAAGCTTAGCGTTGCAATAATGGAACACTAGACATAAATGGGTTAAGGAGTGCACTCCACCCCCCAAGTGTAGGAGACTCCTTTAGTAGCCAGTCCTGTTCAGTGTTTTGTTTTTAGAGCAAGGACCCTCTCTCTAAAGGCCTGCAGGCACTGATGTAAGATTATAATAACGTTGCAAAGCAAGGAATTTGCTGCTCTTAAAACTTATTTTGGAATGGTTCCTGGAAAGACATGGACTCATGCACCATCATAGCAATGGGAACCCCACAGGGAACAAAATTAACTCTGATGAAGCCTCTACAGAAAATCTCGTGGCCCTTTGCCTGACGTATTTGTCTTGAGTGGGCAAGTAATTGCATAAATTTTATACATTTGTACATGAAGAATCACAGATGATTGGGGATTATAGAAAATATGTTTTATTTCTAGAATGTACTTGATTGATTTTTTTCTAGGCAGAGATGACATGAGCGTTAATGAGACTTTCATGACATTCCCAGTGTATTTAATCAGTTATTTGATTCATGACACATGGTACAGATATAATGTATGAAATGATTCTGTAATTTTCTTTGATGTTTCCAAATTACTTGTGTGTGTGGTGGGGGGACAACACGGGGTACTGTCTAATACCAAATAAAATTGCTTGAAACAGTGGCCCCAAACTACCATCTGGGATGAGAAAGGGCCATGTTACCTATTCTATGTGTGTGTGTGTGTGTGGCTACATGTGACCCCACGGTCCTTCCTACATATCTTCCATTTAAGGGAGTATAGTCAAAGAGTTCTGCTGGCGAAGCAGAAGATCAGAACTCTCCTGTCACTGTCTCTGACCCGTATGCTAAGATATTTGGGCCACGTAACTTCTTTGGGTCTCAGAACAGAGGGGGATAGGCTATACAACCTCTGAATTATACCTTATCTACCTGTAGACTGCAGCAAACTTTAGCATCAGCTTGGAGAGGACTCCTAGGGCCATTGCCTGTTTGGCCAAGCAGTCAATGGGGTAGAGAAGCAAGACCGTGGGGAGGGGAATTTCCTAAAGGGAATTTCCTAAAGAAGAAGAAGAAGAGCTGGGATATGGAGCTAGGGTTAGGCCTTTGCTCTCTGAACATCCTCCCCTCTCCATTCTAAGGAGGAGAACTAAGACTAGAGAAGATGCCCTAATCGCCCCCTCCTCTATCTCATCTCAGCAACTCCAAGAAGGAGGACCAAAACTTCTTCTTTTTTCTTTTTTTTTTTGAGAAAAAATCTTGCTCTGTCACCCAGGCTGGAGTGCAGTGTCACGATCTTGGCTCACTGCAACCACTGCCTCCTGGGTTCAAGCGATTCTCCTGCCTCAGCCTCCCAAGTAGCTGGGATTACAGCCGCATGCCACTGCCACACCTAGCTAATTTTTGTATTCTTAGTAGAGACAGGGTTTCGCCATGTTAGCCAGGCTGGTCTCAAACTCCTGACCTCAAATGATTCGCCCTCCTTTGCCTCCCAAAGTGCTGGGATTACAGGTGTGAGTTACCACACCGGTCCGAGGACAAAAGACTTACATAATTCCCTGTAGGAATCACTCTTTAAGGGTGTCACTCTAAGGGTTTTTCATGGTGACGAATCAAATCTGTTTAGATTAAGTCTGAGTCTGCATTTTTTTCCTCATATCATCTCTTAATATTTTAGACATATAGATAAAAAGTAGTTTCTCAAAGTTCCAAAATCTCCAAGTTTCCAAAATCCTGGAGTCTTGAAATCTAAATATTTGGATGAAAACTTAAAATTGCACTTTTCATTTGACTTCTTAGGTTTATAGACAGGACCTCTTTAGACCCAGACTTCATTTAGCCACGCATTAGTAGTGTTTAAGAAGTCTTAGGTGATCTCCAAAAAAACCTTTCCCTCATAACACCGTATATTTATGTATCTGAATGAGATTTAGACTTTCTACCTTAATATACTGTAACTACTGAATTAAATGTGCTGATCTCCTTAAAATACAGGCAGAGTGCTCGCTTCGGCAGCACATATACTAAAATTGGAACGATACAGAGAAGATTAGCATGGCCCCTGCGCAAGGATGACACGCAAATTCGTGAAGCGTTCCATATTTTTTTGTGTCAATTTAATAAAAAAAAAAAAAAAAAAAACTACAGGCAGAAGGCTTCTGTATTTTCCATTCCTTTAATCCTTTTCCATTCCTTTTAAACCTATTGTCTCTGTAGGTAGCCCTCTTGGGTAAATTATTTGTTCAACAGCTCTAGGGCAGGTATTTCCCATGTGCTGTGGACCACATGTAGAATTCAGGAAACACGTATGTGTCCTCATTTTTTTTTTTAAATTTTATTTATTTATTTATTATCAGTGGAAGCACAGTTTGCTGTCTCTACAACTTTCAAATTGGGCACTATGAGCAGCTTCATCCAGCTTCTTGCCTGGAGATTTTTTCAATTATAGGTCTTGCATCTGACCCATATCCACCACAGACTCTAAAGAGATACGGACTAAGATCCACAAGTGGTTCTCTTAAAGCATCTTTCACTTGGCATGAAGTAAGGAGGGAGTAGCCCTCAACTTTTCCATTGCAAAGTAGGGGTAAGTGAAGAGTGAAATGCACAGAATTCTAGCAAATTCCTCCAAAGAAATTATCTTTCCTTGCCTCTGTAACCTCTTTTACGCTCTTAAGGTTTGTGTTGGGCTAAGATTGCAAAACCAGTTTTTGCCCATCTCCTATGGAAGTGCTATATAGCTGGTGTGACACCTTGATTTGTGCATATACTTCATCAGCTTCCCTGAATGTCCACGATCTTCTTAAGAGTAGAGGCTTTGTTATGGACATTTGTACTTCTTATAATACCTAATACAGTGTCCCATATAATAGGTGCTCAATGTATATTGGAGAATGAGTGAGTGAATGAAGGTAAGCTTCCTGCCTGTGTGAAGGAGAATGACTAGCTCCTGTTTAACTGTGCAACTGTGCACACTTTCAAGTTGCCCTCTTGCATTCTACTTCTCATGTAAGTACTGTTATTAAACTTCTAAATACTTAACAGAAAGCTTTTTTTTTTTTTTTTTTTTTGGCAGTGAACGAACTCCTTTTGTCTTCTGTCCCGTGAATATCCTAACCACTTTGTCACTTTGATCTAGGGGGCATTTCATCCTCAGAAATGCAAAGGAGTTGGCGACTGCACAAAATGTGTTCTATTTCCTATTGCCGTAAAAATCCATTGCTCTTGAGCCTTTGCCCGCCCCCTTTCATGGTAATGTGTAAGCCACTAAATTGCAGTTACTGGCTGTGGCCAGGGCCATCGAAAAATCGTGAATGCCATGTAGATTTGAGGCTTGCTCCACTAAAGAGTCCACAATGGCTTTACTGTAACTGGGTTAACTAGAACTTGGCAAACACCTATCCAAGGAGGGTGATACCAAGTCCCCTCCCCACTTCCAGGATGCTGGCCTGATCTTCTTGTATTTGTGCAACTGGCCCATCCAGAGACCCACTGAAGCCGGGAGGAGGGCCCTGGTGAGGGCGACTCTCTCTGGGTCAAGTTGTCCTTTTGCAGCTCTCTTTTCACACAGCTTCTCTTCCTGAAATGTGAAGTAGGTTAGAGGATAGCTTGTTTTATTTTGCTATTTGAAATACAGCATTTGGGGTCATGCTCTGAATAATCTGTGCTTGTTAGAAATGACTGTCATCCTCTTGAAGCAATAACAAAGAACTACATTTAAATTAAATTCAGACAAGCAGGAGCCTCTCCACAAAATCAATGGAGCCAGGCATTTTTCAAAGAGAGATTTTGATTTTTTTTTATCTCTAATATTCCAGGGCATAAATCAGCAAAGATATCCCAGAATCGAAAAGGAGCTGGGCCATTGTTCATAATGCCTTAAAAGTATTTGATAATATGTTTGGGGTGGGAGTGAAAAGGTAAGATAAAATATTGTATGCAATCATCTTTAATATCACTTATTTTTATATTTGGCAAACTTTATTCTTTCTCAATTTCCTTGTGTAAAATTTCAAGTATTAATTTTTTGAAAGATAGCTTCATTCATTTATTAAATTTATTAAATCTGTAAGACCTCAAGAGACTAAAGCCCTGTCAAATATAGTTTTCAAAATGTTAATTTGCATAAATGTATTCATACACACATACCAAATGTAGCATAAAATAGTAGTGACCAGCAATGTGGTGGCCTCATGTTCCAGGTATAAGACTTGTTACATCAATGCAAAATAAAGTATCTATTTTTAAAATATGTTTTCCTCATAGTGTCCAAATTAAACCCTACTTTCGTACTCGAATAATCCCATCTTTATTTTAATGCATCAAAGCAGTCATCCTCTCCAGTTCTTCAACACAAAAACACTCTATTCTTTTCTCATACTAGACATATAAATATCTGGAGCTGCCAAAGTTCGTCTTTTAAAGTCAAGAAGGAAAGTTTCATCAGTTATTTCAATAATTTGCCTTGCAGTTGCTCTGCTTCAATGCAGGATTAGTTCTGTCTAATAAAGCTAATGAGCAGGTTAATTATTAATACACACTGAAAAATTAAAATCCTCACATTCATTCACCTCATCTATATGATGGGTGTTATCACTGCTGTAGATACATGGGTTTCCTCTCTATAGTTTCTGCTTTCAAAACAAATAGATCCTTCATTTTAGTCAGTATGGTTACGCTGAGCAAAGTCATTCTACCTGGTTTTTACCTTCCCCGTAGTGGAGAAAGTATCTTTTTTTTTGTGCTTGCTGATCATATGGCAGGAGTCTTTCTGTGTAGTTTTGTGCATTGGTGTCACGTAAGCCCGTCCTGCACCCCTTAGCTATTCATTTTATGGCCACAGAAGAGCACATCTCATTTTTATCAGATTATCCTTCTTTCTCTTCCTTCTTTCTGTGCTCCTCCAGTCACTCTAACCTTGGGAACAGAGAACCCTGAACTCAAAAAAACCCATCTCTGATTGATGAGGCCCCTGCTATTGAGAACCCT